GGTCAGAGTGTTCCTGGAGCCCGGTCTCCATCCCTCATGACTGTCACTGCCCAAGCCAGGGGCAATGGAGCTGCCAAAGGATCACAGGATGACTTTCGGGGCCACGAACATGGAGTCATGGTTTGGGATTATTATAACCTTGGGCCTAAGTGCCCTTCTCTGAGCCGCCCAGCTGAATTCAGTTTGCTGCCAGTCAACAGCAGCTTGGGCCCTCGCCTAACAGGGGACATTGGAGAGCAAAGGGCGCCGTGTCCTCTGGGAGATCCACATAAAATCTACCATCTTCACCACTAGTCAGTGTACAGTACAGAGACAGTAAGTACATTTACATTGCTGTGCACCATCACCACCGTCCATCCACAGGACACTTTCCATTTGGCAAAAATGAAACTCTGTCCCCCATCAAACAACAACGTTCCTTTCCCGCCTCCCCACCAGCCCCTGATAACCAGCATTCTACTTCTGTCTCTATTTGAATTTGATTACTATAGGGACCTCATCTAAGTGGAATCGTGCAGTATTTGTCCTTTTGTGACTCGCTTATTTCACTGAGCATAATGTTTCCAAGGCTCATCCATGTTGTAGCATGTGTCAAATTCCCTTCCCTTTTTGTGGCCGAATAATGGGCACGCGGGCTTCTCACTCTTGTGGCCTCTCCCGTTGCAGAACACAGGCTCCGGACGCACAGGCTCAGCAGCCATGGCTCACGAGCCCGGCCACTCTGAGGCATGTGGGATCTTCCCGGACGGGGGCACGAACCTGTGTCCCCTGCATCGGCAGGCGGACTCTCAACCACTGCACCTTCAGGGAAGCCCAGAATTCCTTTCCTTTTTAAAGGTTAAATAATATTCGAATGTATGTATATACTACATTTTGTTATCCCTGTGTTGTCGAACCCAAGTTCGTGTGCCTGACACACAATGAGGTCAAAAAACTGAAACGTCGGAGTTTGGAGCTGAGAAAGGTTTACTGCAGGGCTGAGCAAGGAGAACTGGGTGGCTCATGGGCAAAAATCCAAACTCCCCAGTGGTTTTCTGGGGGAAGAGTTTTTAAAGGCAAAATTGCGGGGGAGGGTGTGTGACCTTCCTCTGATTGGTTGGTGGGGAGGTGACGCGATGGTGCTCCAGGAATCTCAGGCATCAGCCTTCTGGTTCCCTCCACTCTGAGGTCTACTTGCTTGTGCAGACCCGAAGTCACCATCCTCCCCCTGGGTGGGACCCCCATGTCCAGCAGAAGAACTCAGAGATCTGTATCAGATTGTTAAGTAAATCCCTCGAGGAGGAGCTGGGACTCTGCCTTATCCCTGCACCATTGTTTCTTTTTTTTCTTTTTCTTTTTTTTTTGGTACGCGGGCCTCTCACTGTTGTGGCCTCTCCCGTTGCGGAGCACAGGCTCTGGACGCGCAGGCTCAGCGGCCGTGGCTCACGGGCCCAGCCGCTCCGCGGCATGTGGGATCTTCCTGGACCGGGGCACGAACCCGTGTCCCCTGCATCGGCGGGCGGACTCTCAACCACTGCGCCACCAGGGAAGCCCTGCACCCTTGTTTCTTGACTGCCTTTCCTTTGTTTCTGCCTTCCCTCCCTTCCCTAATTAGTAACTGTTTGAATCTGCACTTTTTAGGCACTCGGGGAATGTCTAGGAGGCTGAAGCCTTCTTCCTGCAAACAAGAAATGGGGGACACAGAAAGGCTTTTGTACCCAGAAGGGCCACGTAGCGTCCTGTTTGGTTTCAATCCCCCCTTTTCTTTGATACTCCTCAATCTTGAGGAGAACAGGTGTGGGACCAGAAAGGGAGTGATGTTTTGGATGGAGAGGTTAAACTCGGTAGAGGAACTCGATTTTAGGGGGACTTGGTTTCACATGGATACTTGAGTTGCTTCCATCTCTTGGCTACTGTGAATGACGCTGCTAGGAATATGGCTGTACAAATATCTCTGAGTTACTGCTTTCCATTCTTTTGGGTGTATTCCCAGAAGTGGAATTGATGGGTCAAATAATAATTCTATTTTAAATTTTTTGTGGGGACTCATTGTTTTCCACAGCAGCTGTGCCATTTTACATTCCCATCAGCAATGCACACGTGTTCCAATTTCTCCACATCCTAGCCAACACTTATTTTCTGTATTTTAAAAATAATAGCTCTTCTAATGGGTGTGAGGTGTTGGGGGGTGTCATGTGGAGCCCAGCCCTTTCTCTGCTTATCCCCAGGACCCGAGACCCTAGTGGCCACAGCAGGTGTGGGGCAGGTTGCCACCTGCAGGATCCTGTATGAGTCCACATACCATTTCTCCCCAAAACCACAACACATGAGCCTGTTACCTGAAAACTGGGTTCACCTCTTGGTGCATGTCAAGCCAATAGACACAACCAAACCAAAGGTCGGAAGGAAGGATTGTTTACTTGCAGCAAGTAAGGAGAACACCAGGGATCTTTCCCAAAGCACTGTCTCCTCTGAACAGCAAAATTGGGAAAGTTTGAAGCTAAGGGTCTACACATATTCATGAAGGGGCTTGAGCAGAGGAGAATTCAGCATAGAATTGGGGCAAAGGTCGACAGAATCCAAGCTTTAGTTGATTGAAGTTAGGAGGGTCAACGTCATCATTCCATCCTCCACCTGGGCAGACCTGCAGACCTCAAAGATATATTATTATGTATATCCCTTGAGGAGGAACTAGGACTCAGTTTTACTGCTGAACTATTGTTTCTTGACTGCTTTCCTTTGTCCCTTCATTCCCTCAATTCCCATAAGATCATTGATTCCTGAGACCTGTTCAAGGGCAAGCATTGCAACCAGGCTTACATCATAAAATGGCTTAGGCCAAAATGGCTTCTCTTATGTCAAGAAAGCTATCCCTGGTTCTCTTCTCCGGGGACCCCCTGACCTAACTGCTTACAATTTCATGACTTCAGGCTCTACTCATCTAGAAGATTTAGCTCTTCCCCTGCCCCCCATCGCCCCTGCAAAATCTTCCACCAGTTCACCCAGTTCACCTAGTAATTGTTAAACTGGAAGCTGAAAATGTGAGCTTGTCTTTAAAAAAGCAACACAGCTTCATTGATATAAATTCACTCATAAGTTGTACAAGTCAGTGGTGCTTAGCATAGTCGCAGAGTTGTGCAATCATCACACTACCTAATTCCAGAACATCTTTGTCACCCCCGAAAGAAACCCCATACCCATGAGTGGTCTCTCCCTATTCCTCCCTCCCCCCAGCCTCTGGCAACCACCAATCTACTTTCTGTCTCTACACATTTGCCTCTTCTAGACACTTCATGTAAATGGAATCACACAAATGTGAGCAAAGGATGAGATGTAGTGAACACCTGTTGCTTTTGCCCACCCAACATCCTCTCTTGGTCTTTTCTGGGATCAGCACCCTTTCTGTTGAGTAACTGCCTCTCTTCTACCCCATGTGGTTCTGGTGCATGTGCTAACCAGCAAACCTCACCTTCGCACCCACCACCCTGTTATGGCCTGAATGTTTGTGTCCAGCCCCCCAAATTCACATGTTGGAATCCTGCACCCAATGTGAGGTTATTAGGGGGGTGGTACCTTTAGGAGGTGATTAGGTCATGAGGATGGAGCCCTTGGGAATGGGATTAGTGCCCTTATAAAGGAGACCCCATAGAGCTCCCTGGCCCCTTACACTGCGTGAAGGCACAGTGAGAAGTCAGTTGTCACCAGAACCCAACCACCCTGCCCGCCTGACCTCAGACTTCCAGCCTCCAGAGCTATGAGCAATAAATGTTGTTTACAAGCCACTCAGTCTGTGGTATTTTGTTACATCAGCCCAAAGGGACTAAGAGACACCCCAAAACACAAGGATGGGCGTGTGACCTCAGCTAGCCAATCAGATTCTCTGGCAGGGATGCAAAACTGGAGTAGCCGGGAGGGACAGGTGGCTGAGAGTCATGGGACAGGTGGCTGAGTCATCTGATGGGAGCAGCCCTGTGCATCGGCCCTAACCTCCTGACAAGTCACCAGGCTGCCTGCTTCCTGGTCTCTCCCAGCCCTGCTTGTCCAGTCGTACCTTTGTGGCTAGAGCTGCCCCAGAGTCTTTCCAAAAGATTCTTAAGTTTAAATGAGCCCTACTATGCTTTCAATTCAAATGAGTGATTATGTAATAGTCTAAAGCAATTATTCCCAGTGTCCCCTTAAGATTTAGTAAATAAAGGGAATGAGTCAAGAATTAAAATAAGTAAATAAATAAGCAAGGCCAAGAATCAATCTCTATTGCTTGCAGTTCAAAGGACTTGATGAAATCACACCTCCAGGTAGGTGGCTGATAATCAGCTATAATTCTTCAGCAAAAATGTTAGGGGCCAGGCCCTGGGCCAGGGGAAGGTGACAAGGAGGTTCTGACTTCCTGCAATCAGGCTGATTAAACAGATTGGTTTAATCCTATCATTCTCATTTAGGTCACAGGAGTGAATATGCTGTTTGTTTGCTTGCTTGCTTGTTTGTTAACAGTAGAAATTCTCTAAGACTTTGACAAGTGTTAACTACGATATTTTTGAAATACCCCTCAAATATCCCTTTATTTGTAAATTGTCCCCCCTCCCCCAATACCGACCCTGTTCACCAGTGGCTAAATCAAGGCGCTTAAGAATAAGAACAGAGGACAAGTCCTCAGGGAGGACTTGGAAGGGGTGGACATGGTTTAGGGAGTAGCTTTCCAGGATCGGGAGGGAAACAGGCAGAGCAGGAAGTCACCTGCAGCTTCTCTCCATTATGATCAAACTCTGTGGCCGAGTGGTGTAAAACCTCCCAGCGGGCACAGCAGGCAGCTGAGAGCAGCAAGCAGGAGGAGAGACCTCCTGACAGGTTGCTTAGGTGGAGAGAGAGGCTGAATCACCTCTTCCCTCCCCTGCCAGCCCACTGCAGCGCCCAGGGCCTGAGCGAGGCCTGGCAGATGGACTGAGGGCTGAGGGCGAGGGCGGGCTGGATGCCGGTGGCGGAAAGGGGGACCCCCTGCAGTTCCTCAGAGTTGGGCAGGCATCATGGAGCCCGCAGAGAGACGCCAGGGGACCTTTCACCAGCAGGAGGCAGTGAGGGCCCAGCGGGAGGGTGAGGCAAAGGAAACCTCTGCGCAGGTCAGCCAGACCCCAGAGGGGCAACACAGGTCCCCCCAGGCAGATGTCACCTTAGGGCACGGCAAACTTTTATGTGGGAGAGAAAAAAAACCCTGATTAAAAGGAAACAGCAGGGCTTTCCTGGTGGCCGCTCCTAGAGGCAGCCGTGCTGACACGAAGCAGCAGAGCTGTCCCAGAGCAGCAAGAGGGCTGGGCTGCCACACTGCTATCTGCCAGAGCAGCTGGGCTCAGCTTCTCCGATAGGGACACTGCTCCCTCACCAGCCGGCACAGACCTCTGAAAAAAAAAAAAAAAAAAAAAAAAAAAAAAAGGAAACAGCAGCCCCAAAATGGAGTCCCTTATGCTAAACCCGCAATAGCAAAGCAAGACTTAGTACCTACTCTAAGTGCAGCTTCAAGCCTCCCAGGAATGGAACCTGTAATCAGTCAGCCGAGTGGTCAGCCTGGTAGGGTGATTCCATTCCTCTGAGGAGGTCACCTTGCCCGAAACAACGCATTCTTTGCTAATAAGTTCCTTTTTCTACCCTGTTCTGCCTTTAAAAACCTTTCCTTTTCTACAGCTCGGCAGAGCTCCTTTCTGTTTGCTGGAAGGGACACTGCCCAATTCACGAATCAATGAATAAAGACAATTTGATCCTGAAATTTACTCAGTTGGGTTTTTTTTTTTTGCGGTACGAGGGCCTCTCACCGCCGCGGCCTCTCCCTTTGCGGAGCACAGGCTCCGGACACGCAGGCTCAGTGGCCATGGCTCATGGGCCCAGCCACTCCGCGGCATGTGTGATCCTCCCGGACTGGGGCACGAACCCCTGTCCCCTGCATCGGCAGGCGGACTCCCAACCACCGCGCCACCATGGAAGCCCTGGATTTTTGTTTTTTAACACTCTAATAAGAAATTGGGGCCTGACTTTGCCTAAACACCCGCGAATGCCTGACTTTGAAACCATTTCCCATAGGGTTAAAAAAAAACATCCTGAAACTGTGCCCCTCAGGGTTAAAAGAAACTGGTGACTAACAGAAATTCTTGACCTTGTTATAAAGAACAGCAGGTAAGAAGAGCTTGTTAAAAACTCCTCCGCTTGTAACCTGCCTGCACTGACCAGGCTGGCTGTAATTATTTTTTGACTCCTTAACCCCCGCGTTAGATAGATAACTCTGCCGTGTGCTGTGGGTCACTATAGTAACAGGGCGATGGGCTTAAGTTGTTTTCCAGGAACTTGAATTCGATCGACCCCTGTCCGGTTCAAGCCAGCTAAGAATGGCTGGGACCACCGACCCTAAAACTGGACCTGTGCGGGTGTGCAAGGAACAACATTCTGGCATCAGAGGACCGAAAACTGCACCCACAGACGATGCTAAGAGCCTCTATTTTTGAACATGCATCCCATGAAGAAGCATGTGACTCAGATACATGTGCACAGAACCCCAATCACCTCAACTTTTCCCCACCTCCAGTCAGCCTGCCCCATGCCTAAGAGCATACTGCTGCTTTATCCCATAAATATCTGGAGCCCCTCTCATTCAGGGAGGCAGAGCTGAGATTTGCTCTGTCTCCACGGTTGGCGGCCTTGTGAATAAACTCTTTTTCTCTGTTGCAAACCTTGCCATAGTCAGGCAAACGAACCTGGTTTGTTAACAACTTTACCCAAAAGAGCGTGTTTTACATGCAAGAGACGGAGTTTCCCTGAGGCCAGTTTGTTTCTTTTCAGCAGGTTGGGGACCCTTGAGGAAGGTTAGGTGAGTTTAGGAAATGAAGCAACTCCACTTCGTGGTCATCTGGGTTACAGGGCACACTTTTTGTCTCACCGCAGAAGCAGGTCTCCTGCAGGTGACAGATGACTCACTCACCCAGCATCTCTTGCGGCTATGGTTTCATGAGAGTCTCTGTAGTAAATACCCCTCAGGCCAATGGCTGGCCGGTCCCTGAGGCTCCCAGCACTGAGGAGAGGCCACAATATCTGATGTGTTGCCTGGGAAAACAGCAGGGAGGCCAAGATGGCCAGGCGGCCTGGGGTTAGCCAACCCCACCTCCAGGACATTTTCTGGTCAGAGCGTCCCCAAGTATAGGAGGCCAGGGCGCCAGGGCTGCAAAGGCCCCTATGGGTCCCACCTCAGGGCCCTCCAGCCTCTCACTCCTGCTCACAGGGCCAGGGAAGGCAGTCAGCCCCGACCCCAAAGACCAAGCCTGGCTGGGTGGGCACTCCTCCTGTAAAGCAAAGCCCCAAGTGTGGCCTCAGGCGGGCTGGGGAGAGGGCCTAGCACCTCTGTTCATATAAATGTGAACAAACCACGGGGCCCCTGGTCCCAGCTTGCGCGCGCGTGCCCGCGCGCGCGCACACACACACACACACACACACACACACACACACACACGCACAAATCTCAGCCCATGACTGCATGAGAGGCTATTCCCCCAGACACAGGATGTAGAACTGGGGTTGCCATTTCTTAGCTGTGTGACCATGGGGAAAGCCACCTACTCTCTTGAGGTCTCAGTTTCCTCATCTGAAAAATGGAAGAGTCAGGACCACAATCCTGTATCTCAAATCAATGGGGCCAGCTGTGTTTCAGAGTTTCCAATCTGGGGGATTTTAGGAAAGGTCCAGATATTATATATTATGTAACATCCCCAGAAGCCCTCTTGTAGTGTAAACCCTAAAGCTGGGCTTCTGTTGTTCTTGTTTATAATGCAAGCACCTGACTTAAGCTTTGATTGCTGAGGCATCCACGACAAAAATGGTGATCTTTTTTTTTTTTTTTTTTGGGTTTTTTTTTTTTTTTTTTTTTTAGCTATTCCAGATGTTTGAAAGGTCGGGGTAAAGTAGAATAGTGAGGCCAGTATGGCTCTTGTTAACTGTGTGATGTGTCATAAAGCACTCACTCTGATCCTTGATTCTCTCATTTGAAAAAAGGAAAAATTCTCACCAGTTATTGACTTTTATGATACGTAATCTGTGAGAGACCAAACACAGCACTGATACACTCTTGGCTTCCTTAAATAAAAAAGGTATGAATCTTGCTAATCAATGTTTGTTCAATAAATCTAAAAAATGAAGAGTATGTGGCATTTATAGAAGTCATGCATATGCTTAATTGCACTTTCTGCTGTAATTTCTTCCCACTTACTTAGCATCATGTAAAGAAATGGTGACTTAGCATTATGTGAATTTTCAAAGCCAAATACCTCTATCATTGGTAATTTTCAAAGATAATAGTATGATTAGAAATATTTTAATCTGCATTTTATTAATGATAGAAACATAATTTAGTGACATCATTGGAGATGATTACCTATAATGAGTCTGGATTTTTTTTTGACCTACTTAATCCAATAATTATGTACCTTTACCTACTTTCAAAAGCATTTAATAAACCTAGCAAGAAATGTATGTGGGCCTCTCACTGTTGTGGCCTCTCCCGTTGCGGAGCACAGGCTCCGGACACGCAGGGCTCACAGGCCCAGCCGCTCCGCGGCATGTGGGATCTTCCCGGACCGGGGCACGAACCCGTGTCCCCTGCATCAGCAGGCGGACTCCCAACCACTGGGTCACCAGGGAAGCCCAAGATAGTGATCTTGAATAAACACATTGCCAGCCCCAGGGTTAAATAAAAAGCCAGCCACCTCCCCTGCTGAGGCCCCTCGGTTTTAGAGATCTTGGTTGATTTTAATCACTGATGATTTGGGTCACTTTTTCTGGAGCTTTAAATTTCCCCTCGTATGTTTTAAATTCACCAATAAAGAGTGAGCCCTGGAACACTTAGGGTCCCCACTCTCCACCCCAGTATAAGCAGAACCCCAGGCCCTGCTACTCTCTCTCCCTCTCTCTCTCTTTCCTCCCTTCCCCACCTTGACCCCCTCCCCTAGCCCCCATGTGGCCCAGATGTGTCATATCATTCCCAGGTCCTGTAAGTAATAACCTTTTATTTAATTAAATAATTTATTTAAACATTTTCTTTTATGTAATTTCGAGGTTCTATAAGTCATAAACCCTTATTTATTTTTAAGTTTTCTGATGGTTATTGCTGAAGGGTGTCTTGCAATCATGAGAACCCTGGGGGCCAGTCCAACCACAGCATTGGTTATTATAAACTGAGAGCAGCCCAGAACACCCTCCTTGGTCAAACACTATGCATATTTCTTCAGGGAAACAGTGAATATTCAAATGAAGGGGGATGCATCAAAACTATACACTTGCACCAGTGCAGGTCAGGTTTTACCAGCAAATGAATTACGAAAAAATGTTTCCATTTTCAGAGCCTTTATGAATTTCACAGTTACAGAAAAGAGGTCTTAGGCTTTAAGGTCACCCACCTCGGAGGACGGATGACAGCGCTCGTGGCAGCGAAGCTGAGCAGGACCCTGTGGGGCTCCCGGGCACGGAAGCCTTTCTTGTTTCTTGTTTGTAGGGAATAGACCCCAGCCTCCGTGACCTTCCCTGAGTCCCAGAGGGCAGATTCAAACAGCCGCTAATCAGGGAAGGGAGGGGATGCAGAGACAAGGAAGGCGCAGCTAAGAAACAATAGTGCAGCCTCGGGGCAGAGTCCTCAAGGGATACCTATAACAATACCTTTGAGCTCTTCTATAGAACTAAAACCCCCAACGAATAGAAGAGGTTCTCTTCATTCCAGAGAAGATCACAGTTTGATAACTTGGAAGCTCATCCATCAGCAGACCGCCTGAGGTCAGATTAAAGGAGTGAAGACCCTGCGCATGCGCAAACCCTGATCCTTCCCTCGCTTGCTCCGGGGGTCCTCAACGTAGCTCTCCCTCACAAGGGCTAGTTTAATAAATACCCATTTAACAGATGGGGCATTGAGGCCAAGGGCAGTTGAGGAACTGGCCCACAGTGACAGCACTCCAGGTGGTCTGCTCGACTTGAGTCCTTGCAGGACGTAACCACCCTTGTTCTGCCCTTGGCACAGCTAGGACCAGGAGAGGAGAGACTCAGGCCTGACTTGGATTCAGCTGTCCACTTAGTTGCACATCTATTAGAGAAAGAAGCAGAAAGGAACGTAAAAGTTCAAGCCATTTCACAATAAGCGCCAGGGTCTTCCCGAAAGAGCTGCCTTGGGCATTGGCATTTCTGTGCCTGACTCATTGAACTTGGACCCAGTTTTGCAATCAGAGCCTCGGGCCTTTCCCCTAGTGAGAAGAGCCAGCTGGAGACTCTGCACTTTGTCTTTGTCTTCCTGCAGCCCAGACGCTCACAGCCCCCTGCTGGACCAGAGGCCTCCGGAGAGGAGAGAGCAGAAGGCCCTCGGAACCTGAGGCCACAGTGAGAGCTTCACTGAGAACAGGTGGGACAGCACACCCAGGAGGAGGGCTGATTTGGGGCCTCTAAAGGACAATGTGCCCAAGGGGTTGGCCACCTGCACTTGGTTTGGGAAAAAGAGCTGTTGTCAGGAACCACCCAGGGGTTCACATCTCCATCCAGCCAGTTCCTAATGTGAGTCTGGGTCTGAAGTTCAGCTTCGTTACTTGATAAATCAGGATAGAAATCTCTCCTTCAGGAGTATTTGAAGTTTAAATAAAAGCATGATTAAGCGTATGATTAGACCAACCAAGTTGTGTCTTCCTCTCCATTGGCTGGGGACCCCAGGATCCTAGACAGAGAGAGAGAGAGAGAGAGAGAGAGAGAGAGAGAGAGAGAGCGCCTGGACCCCAGAAAGGAGGAGACGACATAGGCCAAGGCATTTCCCTAGACGTTCTCTGCAGGACTGGTTTAGGGCTGTCATCTTTGTAGAAAAAATGCTGAATGAGTTGTCTCAAAATTGCAACCTGCAGTGTTTCTTGGGTTGTAGGTTTTTTTAGTATAGTTTGGGAGTAGGGGGTGTTGGTGATAAAGATTAAGAGGATTATCTCAAAGCTGTGTTTCAGAGTAACCGACTTTTCTGACGCTGATGGGGTGCGTGAGGGACTTGGTTTGCAGGCAAAGGGGCAGAATACAGTGGAGCTGAAGTCTCCCAAAACTGCAAAGAGAAACTCATAAAAAAAATGCTCTCATATGAGAATAACATCTCTAATCCTCCCCCATCATTTCCATCCCTCTTCCAACATAACATCCTTTGACATCCACTGAGAGAAGGTCAGTAGAGAGGGGGTGGAACCTGATGGGACCAAAGGGTTCCCCACTGTCACTATAGCCCTTCATCCGATAAGACTAATATGAAAAATGGGGGAAGTTTTAGGGGGTGCTGGTAAAGAATAGGGTTCCCCCAGGGTTTCTCAGCCTCAGTAACATTGACATTTTGGGCTGGACCATTCTTTGCTGTGGGGGCCGTCCTGTGCATTGTAGGGTGTCGAGCATCGCTGGCCTCTAACCACTAGTTGCCAGTAGCACTGCCTCCATCCGACCCCTGAATGTCTACAGGCATTACCAATATCCCCCGGGGAGGAAACACGCCTCTGATTGAGATCTACCATTCTAGACCTGGCTGGACTCACACTGGGCTCCCCCACTTACCAAGTGCATGTTTTGTAGTGTATTCCTATAATGAAATACTACATAGCAATCTTTTTTTTTTTTTTTTTTTTTTTTTTGGGTGGTTGGGGTTTTTTTTTTT